TCCACTGATCACGTCTACTCATTACTATCGACTCAACAATTAGTCTGGTATGTCATTACCATTACCCTTTAACTTTCAATCCCATTCGAAGCCTAAGTAGTCAATAAAGTATTAGGAATGAATTGTTCTGTTGTCACAATATTGACTGAAACTCAACATATTCAACATATTCAGCTACCACGTTCAGCATTCTAGTGCGAGCAATGTTTTATTTATTCTACGTAAACTTCATTCATAGTGCTTATGTCAATGCGGTTCATACGAAATGCACATATATGTGAACCGGGATCGATCAGATTTAAGTCAAAATATGATCAACAGAGTAATTTAGTAAACCAGGGTTATATTAAATTCAGATAACTGTTTCTAACACACAAATAAAAAAAATCAAATGAAGGAAATTATGATTCACAAACGTTCCTTGCAGAGTTTATCAGTTGAATTTCACATGAGTACAGGATAAAAAAGCCAATTCTAAAAGAAATAGTCGAAGCTGACAGTCAAGTTAGGATAAATGCAGCTTCGTTCTGTGAAAAATCATATAATGAAGGGTGGATTTGAATATATGGTAGTGTAAATATACGTTTGATCTTTGTACTTCACTCTGCGAAACTGTTCGTTGCTATTAATGAAGTCATCACTATGCTCCTACAGCATCAGCTAGTCCAATTCTTCGCTGACCGAAATCAAATACAGTATAGAATTTTCTGATGAATGTGTCACCAAGAATCCAGGAATTCGGACGTAACCCAGGATCGGAATAAAAAGGAGATGAACAACTTACTCCAAATAATGTGTTCTCCTGTAATTCAACAAGAAACACGATAAAACACAACCGAATGATCTCAAACATATTGACTGTAATAACAAATACTCGAACGATTATTAATTCAACGAAGAGCGCACATTTACTTCAACCATCTGCTCATTTATTAAAACTTAGTATTAACACAAAACAACAGGAAATCTAGTGTTCGCGTTATCTGTGTCATCTCCTTTTCTTCGAAAGTGGTTCATACGAATAAAAAAAAAAAAAAAAAAAAAAAAAAAAAAAAAAAAAAAAAAAAAAAAAAAAAAAAAAAAAAAAAAAAAAAAAAAAAAAAAAAAAAAAAAAAAAAAAAAAAAAAAAAAAAAAAAAAAAAAAAAAAAAAAAAAAAAAAAAAAAAACTTATAAAGTAATACTTATAAAAGTAATGATCTACTAAACCTTTTATTTTACTGCTTATTGCATCTTCAAACAACTATCTGTATCCGTTGGACGAGAAATTTTCTGTTTCAGTATTCTAGTCTCACACAATGATGGTTATTCTATTCAATCTTCGATCAAGCGGCTAACGTTGGTTGAAATAAGATGCATCGTCCTTCAAATAACTTTGTCAACTTCGCCAATGTAGCTATCTGTGTGTATCGTGAAGCAAGAAACACTACTGTCGCATTATTTATCCGTCACTATTTGTTTCTAAGCAAATCTGGATTCAAATTAACCTTATCAATCATAATAAACATAAGTAAGTACCTTGAATATATAGTCCTGTGGCTTCAAAATATACTTCCGACGACGAAATATGAACTCGATCGAAGGAAGTTCATTTATTCTGCTGCATTCAAAGCGATTACTTTCCAGAAAACTGCTAGACGCACCAAGTAGGGAATTGATTCCTTTCACTTGTTCTTCTGGTCCAATCATAAAGGAAGTTCCGGTGTCGATAATAGCAGAACAGATACTGCACACGTCCATCCCATCTATTTGAAAACTAATTGTACGTGAAAAACACTTGAAGATGAATTTCTGTTTGAACTATTTCACTAATCAAAATATTAACTAATATCTGTAATCACTTATTATGAATAACACAGAAAGACATGAAAGCATTCTTTCCAGCAGTTTCCTATCAATCAAATTCATTGGCTTAGCATAAGATATCTCTTTCCTTTTCAAATGATCTCAATGCTATTATCTGTCAAACATGTGTTGCGACATGAAGTTTGACGGGATGTGGCTAGAAATGAATGAGAAGATTAAAACTCATCCTCATGAAACAGTTGCTAAATAGCCAATATACTTCTAAATAACTTTTGTTCTCAAACATTGGATGAGATCAATACTAAATAAACTATGTCTAACTGCAAGCCTAGGCATACATTGATAGTCAGTTCTCAATGTTAGCTTCAGCTATATTCGCACACTTTGAAAACTTTCAAATTTAACATCCAGTTTAATTGACTGAAACATTGTTACCTGATAATTGGTATTACCCACACATATTCATCAACAGTGGGTATATATTCAAAATCGCCTTTGAAGTATTTAGGATTGACGCCTCCAAGAACCATTTCACCACCAATCTGTGAACCATTCTCCCTATCAATAAATAAGGAACCTTCTGTATGATTGTTGATAACAACTCTTTTGCAAACATCAATATTCTAGGTTAAGCACAACAAATGTATTCTAATGTGCATGTTTGTATTTTGAAATAAAGAGATCAGTGTCAATGTGAAAAGTAATGTTTCGGCATTCGGACTTTGTGTTAACTATTAACTGTTCCAAAGTAACAAATAATCTTATTTCCAAACATCAAGACTCAACAAAATTCATTTAGTCAAGTTCAAACAAACGTTGAAGATATGAAAATCAGACGACAAAACATTTCATATTGAATCTTGTACTTTGAAATGATTTAATTTCATATATTAAAATAGAACTACACATTGATCTAATCACACAAATACACTACAGCATACTGACTGAATTATTAGAGTTCATGTTTAATAACCGATTTAGGCGAACCGGGAATGCCAGGACTACATCAGAGTTTGTCACTCATTTCCAAGTTGCATTGAACTATTCAATTAATATGCTCTAACTCTGCAGTTTAAGTAATCTGTGCTCATAAAGCAACCTCATGAATCAGATATCTAATCTCATATAAATTTCAGTAGCATAAATAATGTATTGGATAAATTGATAAGGAAACATCCAAGAAAGATTTTCATTATCATTAGTAAGAGATCAAGGAAAGCTTCAGTTATATTCATCATGAACTGAGAAGGTTCAATACACAATAAATGTGACGTTCTAAATGACGTGTTGAATGACAACTCAAAAATAAATATTTTCATAGTAAAACGTTCTTAAGTAAAGTGATTGTCTCCTATCGTTTTCTCTCAGTGTAAAATATCACACACTCACCGATTTAAATAAAACGAAAATACTGGATCCATATTCACATAATTAGACAGTATATTCGGAAACATTGGAATATTTCCGTAAGGTGATATTCGGGTGCTCGACATACCAACTACTCCATCATATTTATCAGTAAGGTAGTCGAAGTTAAATATGTTTGTCATTTCAGCAAACGCTTGTCTTGGTATAACTAACGAATTTATCTGAAAGTGAACTTTATTTTGAAATGTTCTGAAACGTTACCCGTATGGTATCGACACTCCAAAATCCAGAGAAATTACCATCAAGATAACTCACATGAAAACCCGAACCATCTGCTTCATATGTGGATGATTTTGAGCTGTCATAGAATGAGTACAACCAACAAAGTATATCGAGAAACCAACACTTTCTTGAGGCTAACCATGTGTTCGTTGATCCCGTGTCGAACAGTACACGAAGCTTCTGAGGTGGAGTTCCCACTGATATCTCACCATAATATTGAAGCTTAACAAAGAGATCATTGTTATCGAAAAGTCAAACAGTGTGAAACGGAGTAAATGAAAATTTATCTAGTGTTCATGTGTAACAATATGTAAATATTTGCTCTCTTGATTAAAATGACTACATTCATCATATATATGTGACAACTGCCTAGCTGATAAAGAATGAATACGATTTGTTCTATCACATTCCTGTTACTAGTGTAACAGCGTACGTGCAACATTCAAATTTTCAGTTACTGGGTCACCTTCTCCACTTCACACGTATACAACAATAAATATTCATCTGAGTGCTTTTGTGATAAATGTGATTGAAAGCAAAGTAAATCGAAGTAGAAAATACGATTATTACACTTACATTCTGATAATTGATGAGTTTTTCCGACGCAGAGACAGTCCACTTATTCCCTTCATTCATCCATTTTCTCGTCCACGGCACAAAGTAATTCGAATGAATTCTAGGCCAAATACTACTTCTCTTCACCGGGTATAGAGACACCTTAAAAATTTCACCAAGTGAATATGGCAGTGAAATTAGAATGATCAATCGAATCATTGAGCTTAATTCAAACGAAACAGATGAGCAGTGATGCAGGTGTAGTTTCTAATTTTATTCCCTTTTTATTGACGCAGACACATCTAATGAACTCGTAGATTGATAAGCAAACAAACTAGTTTATTGGTTGTAACCCGGACCTTCCTACATCAGTGCAAATATTAGTGCATGCGTTATTTACTACCAGTACTTCTTAAATTTCATGATAATCTGTTGCATTTTGAGTGATGATTGTTTAAAAGCGGAGATAAGTTACTATTTCAGTAATTCATACAATGCAAGATTACGAAGTGTGAACATGATTATAGAAACGATGCAAAGATACTATGTGCTAGCCCTACAACATCAGTGTCACATGACTTGATTTCCCATCGTCATCACAATGTCGGATTCAGGTGTAATGTGTCCAACATGCACTATCTCCTGAACGGTCAGACAATTGAACAATCATCGACTGATGAATTGACCAACGTCTATGATCAACTAGTCATACTGACTGGCGAGGATTGTTGAAGATGAAATTCGTCATCAAACACCTCTGTCTGTAAAAGTAAAATGTTGTATTGCTGAGATGGTGAATGCTTTGAAATTCCACTATGCATTATCAGTTTCCGATTCCATACACGATGGTAACTGTTATTAAACTAACTTTTCGCCAAACTTATTTGTTGAATGTCTTGTTGGTTATGTGATTCTCTATAAGGCTATCGCCAATGTAGATAATTTAAATTTTTACAAATAATAAGTTTGATCGATTTAAGTTTCCGCGTTCAGTTGACTAGTTAATAATTCGAAATTACTTACTTATGGAGTGCTGACATCACTGTTTGACATTTTTTCTATTTTCAATAAATCACTGTGAAAATATAGGATATTTCCTTAAATTTTTTTCTTAGTTAGAGAAACTCCATCACAATTCATATTAATATGCCTGTATGTGAGTGTGTGGTTGCTCATGTGACTTATTATTCAGTTACACTAATTGTCGGTTTATTACTTCATTACACTCAGTTGAATATGTGTAACAGGAAACTTTGAAGTGTCGATAGTGATGAATTTATTGTTTGTAAAAGTAATTGACTTTTAATTTGTGAGATATTAAACGTAGAAATTATATATACTTCGCTGTTATCGAAAATACATTCATCAGCCAATGCAATTTTGATTAAGAATAATATCAGCTTTCACATTTTATAACTTTGTATACCTCTGTTGACAGATCCACAACGTCTGATTTTCGGCCTGACATAAAATTAAATTGTTTATAGGATAAAAGGATGATATTATTACTCCATCTAAAAGTTATCAGTAGTTTTTGGAAACATCTCTATTATTGATGAGAGTTGTTGTTGCATCTCATGAGTTGTAAACATGCGACCAACTGAAAATATGGGATAGCGAATTCTTCATAGTAAGCGTATAGTTATGTGCAATGATGTTGGGTTGTCTTATCATAAGTGAAGAACACTTTGAGAGACATAAGTGATCTGATATTTGCATTCAAACATTAAGGAACAGTTTTCGTGAAATATTTCAAACTCTTCATACATTTGAGAGAGTTAATCGACAAGCTCTGTACTAACTCAAATACGTGATGATCCGTGAGACCAGAAACATTTGGTCTATAAACCATTTGAGATGATATTTCTTTCTTTTCTCACATTTTACACACTCCTTCAACATAATGACCAATTCATTAGTTGCATATTAGAGTGTTTTCTAGTTTATTATGTTAGGATATCTATCATCATTTTTGTCAAGCTGCCCTACAGTGATCATCCACAATAATTAACTACTCAAAATGAAAATGAGATATTGGTTTTACAATTGCTGCACTGTGTAATCAAATAGACTGCACATGAAACTTTCTGTCATGTTTTAAATTCACCACATACTAAGAACGGCTAAGAAGGTGAGAGAATTTTGATACATTTTATGGATCGAACTTGAAAAGAATCTGTTTTAACGGAATGCTAACTTTGAATTCACAATTAATTTATCTACATTTCAAGTATAAGCCAATTTGAACTGTCACCACAGTTCTAGTTTGCGAAGCAGACACTAAATGAACTACGTCATCTGTCAATTCGTGTAGCATTTACAATTGTGTATTTTTTAGTGACCAATCTTTTATTTAGTAAAACTTGCTCGAGCGCATTACAATATAAACAATACATTGGTAAAGGATCAATATGTTGTAGGCAAACCATTTTACTGAAATAGAAATTATTTATACATTCAATGAATGTATGTCATTTTAATTCAGGATAACAGGCAACCATATTCATTGAAGATATAACTGCACAGACGAGCAAAGTGATTCGGCTTCTGCTACAAATGAACTTCTGTGCTAACCCTCTTGTTGAAGTTCCATTCCGATCAAAATCAAATTCACAGGTGTCCAATTATACATTTTTGTACATTATATATCTTGACATCCCTTTTGTGATTGTCGATAGTATTCTATCAATAAATATATACTCAACTCTGTTGCGTTCATCATTTTGGAAAAGAATCATCATATTTATGATGGTGTGGATTGAATAATCTTGAAATTGGTGAAATATGTGAATAAACTGAAATTAGTTACGATTAGAAATGTGAAGCAGTTGATTTATCAATTTGAATTAGCTTCATTTTAAATTGTTTAATCAAAGTTACAATGGTGTCGCACTCTTCCTGCTTGTTTTATCCGAATTCCTCACTAAATTGTCACGGGTCATTTTTTTTTCTAGACTTTAGTTTTAACTGAATTCCATTAGTTAGGTGTATAGTCGAATCAAAACTTTCTTTGTTTGGATTAAAGTGGATTGTCGACATTCTTCAAAACCTCCTGATCGTACATCTTCTGCCACTGAGTTCTCGTAAGCAAACAATATTTTCCACTGATATGGAACTAATGATCTCTTGAATATTCAGTTAGGCTTTGTGATAAATATCAGTTACTGATAAGCTACACCCATCAATCATAGTCGATTGTCTTCTAAGATTATATATCTTGTCACTTCTGTTGTGTTTCTCGATAGTATTCTATCAATAAATATATACTCAACTCTGTTGTGTTCATCATTTTGGAAAAGAATCATCATAATGGATTATTGATGGTGTGGATTATTTAATCTTGAAATTTAGTCACCTTACGAGTTTCGCATGCGTACCGGACCCACTAGTTGTACATATTAACCGATCTGGCCCAATAAGGCTTGCAACAGTAAGGATACATTCACTCAGTGATCTTTTGGTCTTTAAGTTTCAAGCTAGGGATTTCTTACCGAGAAATACATCTAGAAATCAAAAGTTTCGGATAGCCTTAAACGCATACTCCATTATGTCGCATACTTTGTCAGCTTCAGATAATTTATTCGCATAATGTGTCAAACATAAGTGCTTGATTTGATACACAACGTGAACCTTAATCAAGATGCAAACGATTCACAAGGCGAAATCTTCAGGAAATTCTGAAGACCTGCAAAATCGTGCAAAGATGACACTTGACAGATTCGTTGAAGGTGAAGACCAGTGTCAGGCATCGTTGCTTACTCTCACGCTTTCTCTTTCTCCTGCTCATCGACTGGACTATGAAGACGTCAATATCTGGAGGGAAGCACGGCATCCAATGGACAGTTAGGACTCAGCTAGTGATCTGCACTTTGCAGATGATCTGGCTTTTCTTTCGCACACGCAACATGAAATGCAAGTGAAGATAACCGGAGTAGCAGCAGCCTCAGTAGAAGTAGGTCTCAACATACATAAAGGGAAACGTCAGATTCTGTGACACAACGCAACATGCACAGAAAATTGGAGAACTACGAATGCCCTCATCCATAAAATACAACTAAGTATTAAAAATTGTCTTCGCAAAATACTTCGGATTCGTTGGCTAGACACTATCAGCAGCAACGTACTGTGGGAGGGACGAAACCAGATTCCGACAGAGGAGGAAATCAGGAAAAAGAGGTAGAAGTGGATACGTCAAACACTGAGAAACACACCCAACTGCATCATAAGACAATCCCTAACCTGAAGCCATCAAGGTCAAAGGGTGAAGGAAAGCCGAGAAATCGAGAATGACATGAGAATAATGAACGAAAACTGGAAAGAACTGGAAAGCGAAGTACAGGACAGAATCGGTTGTAAGAAACTGATGAGCGGCCTTCTCTCCATTTTTGGGGGGCGGTAAAGGGGCCTAAGTAAAGAAACACAAGAAAGGTCTGTTTATATAGCATTCATTTGCTTACCCGCATTTTCAAAATCATGCTTGTCGATACTGAAATTTCACTGAATGTAAAAACATACGAGAAAGATAATATGAAGGAAACTTAAACTCCCATTTAGATTTATTATTGGATGTTCTGGTTGTTGGAATGCACGTCAGCCTCGAGACGTCCGAAGAAAATCATCCTTCGTCATGAGATTTTTGGACTCCTCTAATTGAAAACATTCAATATCCGAGGGCAGAGTTGCGATGGTTTCAATTCATTTAGACGGCTGTCGTATTTACAGCGACGAAACGTAATAAACATTTATGGAAGTATAAACAACTCACTTGTCTTAATATTGCTCATGTTTTTTGTATCTAAATTTACCAAGTGGATAATCATCTTTCACATCTCCATTTTAATACCTCCTTCTCGCAAAATACGAAGAAAATAATTCTTCATCATGAGATATTAGTACTCCTCCTATTGAAGACATCAAATCTCCGAGAGCAGAGTTGTAATAGTGTAAATTAATTTTGTCGGCTGTCGCATTTACAGCGACAAATCGTAAAAAACATTTGAGAACGTATAAACAACTCACTGGTCTTAATATCGCATTTTGACACGTGTATTTCCTCGCTGTTTTATGTATATTAGTTTTGC